ATTTTTTTAGTTTGCCAAGCACTTGGTTTGCTCTAGCTGCTGCAGCTTCTACTTGATGCTTAACTTTGAGTTCGTTTGATGTTAGAACACCTAAGTCACGTTCAATAATTGTTGTTCCAAGTTCTATTCGATTACCATATATGTCAAGCATTAAGTAAAGGCGTACTGATTTATTTGAGCGATGACTTTACATTTGTCTATATTGAAATACATGAGCCACTTTTTAGACCATTCGACTGCATTATCTATGTCTTGTTGTAGTTTTATTGCATCATCTTCTGCTTTAATTACCCTTAAAATCTTACAATCATCTGCGTAGATTTTTATATGATGCACCATGTTGTCTGAAAGGTTGTTTATATAAATCAGAAACAAAAGTGGACCTAACACTAAAAATTGTGGAACACCACTAGTAACGTCTATCCATTCAGACTTGCTATTGCTGATGACCAATCTCTGTTTTTGATTTTTTAACCTGTCAGTTATCCACTCCAGTAGTGTTCCATGTTTGCCGTATGCATCGAGTTTTAAAAGAAGACTTTGTTGAGGTGCTTTATCAAAAGCTTGAGCAAAGTCTGTGTAAATCACATCTATGGCATGATTATGAAATAATACTTTTGTTAAAATGTCCTGTGCCTCTAGTAGGTTGGTTGTACACCGCGTCTTGGAAGAAATCCAGGTTGAGATTTTGTAAAAAGCCCTTTTTCAAGGCAATGTTTGAGGATTCTTTTGTGTATAAAACTTTCCATTTTTTTTACAGGGTACCGATGTGAAAGAAACTGGCCTGTAATTCAAGCATTTTCTACGGCTTCCATTTTTAAAAATAGGAGTAACATTTGATAACTTTCAAAAATTAGGGACTTTGCTTTCAGCCAGGGGTTTTTTGAAAATCATAGCTAGTGGCTTAGCTATTGCAGTAGCACAGTTTCAAAGAACACGCTGGTGTATGTTAACGCAGCCTTTTGACTTTGTTTTGATGAGCTCTTCTAGCTTCTTCTGAACAAATATAGTTGTTGGTTCTGCTTCATCCAGGGCACATTCCGTTTCTGTTTGGTTCTGAAATGTTGGCATCTAATGTAACGGTTCAACAACAAATACAGACTGAAAATATACGCTAAGTAAATGAGAAATTTTATAACTATCAGTTATAAGATTTCCATTGTTGTCTTCTAGTGACTTTCATTCGCTATTCTACTTGACTTGGTTATGAAGCCGTTTTGGATCAATTTTAAAAGAGTTTGCAATTAAATTTTCATACCTAACAACTGCTTACAGTCTTAACTAACTCTTTGCAAACTGCCTTATGCTCTTCTCGAATCTTTATGTGAGTCAATTGACCAGCTGCAAGATATTTACACCAAAGGGTTCTTTTCTTTTCAACTGCTTTTTCAACTTCTGGCGTACTCCATGGTTGTTTTTGTTGCTTGAACGATGTTTTAGTTGAAGGTATGTAAAAGATGACTGCCTTGTTACTTTTTTCAACAAATATCTGATAATTGTCATTTACTGAATGAGAATTAAAAATTGTCACCCATTCATATGATGTGATAAGCGTTAAGATTGCTTCATAATTAGCCTTGCTCCAGACAAATCTTTTTTGTTCTTTTTTAACACAAGCATTGTTTATAGCAAATGAGCCAATAAGTAGGCATTGGGCTTTCCCAGCTGGTGTGTAACCAAGTGAATTACCTTCATGTAGATTATCTATGCGGTCAGTTTCTTCAATGAATAATAAATCTAGTGTGCTTGATGTTCTTTCTTTTCTATTTCTGCGGTGAGTGTGGAAAGTAACCATTTGCATAAGAAAGTTTTCGTTTAGACATTGCTGGAATTTCGTGTCCGTTGCATGTTCGTTTTGTATATGTGCAACTGTTGCTGCGCTTTTATTAGTTTCAAGTACCTCATATGTTGTGTGGCTGAAGTTGAAATCACCGTAAATTAGGACAGACGAACAGCTTAGTATTGACAAGCTCTGCTTTGCTGAATCAATTGATTTGATGACTTTTTTTAAAACCCAATATCATTATCTTTTGGTCGGTATATGCAGCCTATTAAGATAGATTCGTCGCCTATCGTTATCACTCTCCATAGTTGTTCGATATCTGTCGAGTTAAGTTGATTTACATCTGTTTCATTTGCTGGGATACCACCCTACTCTGCTTCCTCGGTTTTTGTTATGGAGTTGGTAACCGGGCAGTTGAGTGTCTGACATTTGACCAAACCAGGTCTCAGTGAAGAAAAGCAATTGAGGTTTCTTTTTTACTATCTCATTATCAATTCTTGCAACTAGTTCATCTTTTTTGGCATCATTTAGCAAACAAGAAAATAAGTTGTTTATGTAGATTGTTATATATTTTTTTAATTTTGTTTGATTTCAGATGATTTAGTTGGTTTAAGCGTGGCTGCTTTGATTTACAGGAAACCAACAATGGTCTTGGTCGGCGTAGTGGTAATTTAGTTAGTGGAAAAGATAATTGTTATGGAAAAGAGTTAAGGATTGTTTTTATTGACTCTGCTTTCTGCTGTTTTGATTTAATCTGATTGTTCTTTGCTAATCCAAACACACTTTTTGTTATTGGCAGTTGTCAATGCAGCGCACAGATCCAGTCCGTCTGTGGACGATCCATCGAAAGGGTTCGTTCTGACTAGCTTTCATAAGATCTTCATTCTTTCGCTTCTTTTCGTTGTATAGTTTATTGAAAGCTTCTTCCTCTGCAGTTGTTAGGTCCTGTCGAGTTTACTCTCCTCTGAACGCTTCTTTTTTGTGGAAGTTGCCTTTTGCTAGGGCATCTCGTTGTGCCTCTATCGATTTGAACAAAACTTGTATTACACCAATTGGATCTTGCTTATCCTGGTTCATATTCTTGAGATTGCTAGGTAGTTTATTTCTTCTTTAATAACGACAAACGTGAACAATTTCCTCATGGTTTACTTCAATTGCTTCAAAAAACTCTTTTACAAGATCTTCATCAAGATCTTTATCGCTTCTATTTTCAGACTCTTTAAGACCAACCACTACTATATTTGACTACTTCTTTTTTCTAGTTTTTATTTCCGTTTCTACAAAGTTAACATAAGCGTTGCGCTTTGCTTTATCGAGATAAGACTAGTTAGCTGCTGTTGTTGCTTTGTTATTTACTCCATTGGTTTTGTCTCGAAGATTATTGATCTCTTTGTCATGCTGATGTTTGATTTGGGTTATAACCGCCATTAACGTAATTTTGATCATATCAACAACTTCACTTTTGTGGTTTTTGTCAAATGCATCGTCATTGATAGTTACTCCTATTTTATCCTGCTCTAGGGTCTCGTTTATAATATCTTCAATAGATTTTTCTTCGATTGCTCTCATATTAATTGTTGAAGTTGATTTGCAATTGTTTACACCAATTCAAATCTTTTGTAAATATATATAAATATAAATATAAATATAATCTTTTCAAAGTAATGCATTTTTGAAGAAATAAATCGCTTTTTAAAGATTATTTGAGATTATAAGATTTAATTATGCTAATTTTTTTTATTGATATTGATTAAACAAATTTTACATTTATAAAATAATTTATTTAAAATATACAAAAATTATTTAACTCTATTCCCGCGTCTGAACGCATCGAACAACCTTCTATATATTCCACTGGGCTCATTGAGCGTTTTTCCTTATTTTTTTGTTTTTTTTTTGTAATGAGCGTCTTTACATATTATAGTTGGCTTGTTGAGCCTTTCTCTCTATTTATAAAATGTTTTAACAGTCAATTGAACAATACCAACAATATTAATTATTTTAATAAGAATTGAAGTTTTAACCATGAGGTTTCATAATAAAACTTCACCTTCAAAACAATATGAATTTAAAAATAATTGTAATGACAGAGTTCTAGTTCTTGCTCTGATACAGCGCGTTACAACTCTAGTTGCAACACGTTTTACAAGCTTGAGTTAAACACTTACATAGTCGACGCTTGGGTGTGGGTTTAAATGGTTAGGGTTTTTTCTATAAGAATTTTTTTTATTCAAGAAGTTTTATGATATAGAGGAACTTGGTTAAAAATTGACGTCCACTCCGAAACCCGTGACGTCAATCCTGACTGAATAAGAAAGTAAAGAAGATCTACGAGTTCAAACCATTCATTGAATGATTAATTTTGTAAAAAAAAAAAAAAGTAAAAAATTGTAAAAGGCTTTAAGCGATGGATAATTTAATCAAAAAACATTAAGGTTAGACTATATCTATAAGAAAAACTTTTTCCTTATTTTTACGTAAAACAACTTTAATTTTAAATTTTTAAATTATGTTTGCTCTGCATTTTCTTAAATAAAAACTGAAACGATCGCAACTCTGCGTTCCTAGTATCCTAAAGTAGAAAAAAAAAAAAAAAAAAAATCACATTTATATTTGGAGCATATTCTCCAAAACAAAACAAAATGTTTTTATTGGTATTTTAGAAAAAAAAATTTAATTATAAATAAGTAAAAACTTAATACTAATACAAGAAACGTATATACCAATAGACATAAAAGTATATACTGATAGATATAAAAGTATATATTGCTGCCGTGGCGCAGTGACTAGAGTTCTATGGTATCCAGTGACTAGAGTCCATCGGTATGGTAAGAAGCGTGAACTTGAAGCGTTAACCTAGTTAAATGGAATCATTATTCAAATTGCATTTCAATACATGTATATGCAATATTGGCTTAATTTGCTTAATCGCATTGCAATACATGTATGTGCAGTTATGAGTAATGATGATGCTTAGTTACATAAAATCTGTTTTGGATATTATATTATAAGGTCAGAGTTATTGAAGCCAAAAAAATTTTTGTTTAACTTTGTTCTTAATTTTTTCAAAGTTACACAAGTATGCAAATATTGCATGAAAAAGTTTAGAAAAAAAAGGTAGTTGTATCATAAGATTCAAATACTTTGAAATTTTTGAGCAAGTTTTAAATGCATAAAAACAAACGAATCTCAATTTTTTAATTTTTAATACTTCAAGGTGTACTACCACTGTACAAAGAGGCTTTACCGTGCCAGCGCCAACATCCTATAAATCCAGTAAAATATCCTTTTGTTTTTGCAATGGATATCGCACATAGACGTTTGTTTTTGTGTGCAGATAACAGTGTTATGTATGAAGAGTGGGTTTCAAAAGTATCAGAACAACTTCTAAACAATGAGAAGCAAAAAATAATTTCGCAAAGTAACTTCAAACAATCGGTAAGACTTTCGTTCTTTAATTTTTAGTTATTTAATTCTACTATTTTTGAACAATGGTAAAAAATTTTTGGATAATATTAAGTACCCATCAAATATTCAAGGGTCAGTTGGGATCCCTAAAAAAAATCTTTTATTTGTAAATTTTTAAAATTTAATGTTATTTTATTATTAAGATCAAATCTAGAGGCGTAACACGAGAAACATTCAGAAAAAAAGAAATTTTTACCCTACCCTAGTGAACACATTCATTTAAAAGAATATCAAAATCGAGGTCTTATATTTTAGTGAGATTTTTACAATTTTGCTTTGGCTTGCTTTGGCGAGTCAATAACTTAATAATCAATAACTTTTAATTTGTTAAAGAAAGAAAATAGATTTCCAATAAATGTATAAGATTTTGCATGTTTTGCCAAATCAAACAATAAGCCCACAATAGAAAGGAATGTACTTCTTCAACTTTTTACTTTCATTAAAATTGTGTTTCTTTTGCTGAACTATCATCTCTAGTAAGATGCACGCTCCGTTTTCGCATCAGTATCAATGATTTTTAATTTGCTGGAGAAACAATTTTGCTTTGGCTCAATTTTGCTCACCCCACCATAGTGTTCATCTAAACCATTATTTGACTGTTGATAAAAACTGCGCAACAGTAAATCAAATATGTTTATACACATAAATACACATAGGGGAGAGCGGGGCACGTTGTCATACTTTTTATATTTTTCAAGATATTTCAAAAACCAATTGGTCAATTTTCATAAAAACTATTTTATATGGTAGTTTATCATTATAGTTATTTAAAAAACAACTTTGGAAAGCTTCAGACCATTTGAGTATAACATGCCACCATTTCTAAAAAAGGCTCCATGGTATGACAACTTGCCCCACCGTCGGGGCAAGTTGTCATGATAAGAGGAGCAAGTTGTCATTATTATATTTTATCACAAGTTTAGGTCTAAAAGGTAAAAAAAAATATTTTCAAATAAAAAACAAGTATTATATTAATCATTTATAAATTATTAAAAATAACATATAAATTATATTATAATTTATACTCTAAAACACTTTGAAAATGACCATTAATAATCATCATCAGAGTCACAGTTATGGCAAATGTAGCTGGACCCTCCTGTTGTACATTCTTCATGTGCCCAGCTTGAGCACACACAGCATTTGATCCATTTTTCAGCATCTCCGCTATTAGCCCAAGTATCCATGCAAATAATACAGTAGGTTTCATCTTCTGATGATGATGATGATGAGTCTTGTGTATGCTTTTTTGTTGCTTTGCCTTTTCCCTTTCCCTTAGCAGAACGTTTGCATTTTTTTGGTATTGGCCTTACTTTATCTGAAGATGCAGGCTCAAAGCATTCAGAAATTGGCTTGAGATGTTGAAGGCTCCTGTGATGACAAATTCAAACTTGAAGTTGAAGCACAAGTGGATTGTTCTGGTGAGACTGTAACCTCTGAAGCTTGAGGCATTGTTAATTGAGGATTGGTTTTGACTGGCATAGACATTTCTGTTACTGAACTTGGAGCAAAGTCCGAATCTGTAAATACTTGAGGGTTAAATGGGTGGATGCCACAGGAAGAAAATCCGCTCAGTATGTTATTTGGTGTCATGCTCAATGGAAAGGCAACCTTCACTATCTCTGGAATATTGTAAATTGTCATACCCTTTCCAGGGTTACTGACCATCCAACTGTTGATGGCTGTATTTACAGCCTTTTTAAAAGGGCCATAGACTGTTCTATCTAGTGGCTGCAACTTGTGGGTGCAATGGGGTGGAAAACTTAACATAATAATTCCATTTGCTGTCGCATAGTCTAGTGCATTCAATGACAAGTGCGAAAAGTGATTGTCAACCAGTAGCAAAACTGGATGCTTCTTTGAAGGCCGTGCATTCTTTACAAAATGAGTAAGAAATTTACAAAAAGTGTCTTCCTTCATCCAACCAGATGGATTTGCGTCCCTATCACTGCCAGGTGGTGCAGAAGTTAAAAAGTGGTCCCTTAAATTGACTCTCGGAAATACGAAAAAAGGTGGAATACTGTTACCAATAGCAGAGGCAGCACATGCCAAGGTAACTAAAGCACCTCTTTCTGCTGAGGTTATTGCCCCAACTTGCTTTTGGCCCTTTCTTGAGATCACTTTATAAGGCTTTTTGACTGTAGTTACCCCTGTTTCGTCCATGTTCCAAATACCTGCTGGTGTGAATTGGTGACGTTGAAGACACACCTGAAGATTATTGAAAAACATTTCAACATTGTGTTTGTTGAAACTTATGGCACGTGCAATGCTTGTGGCCTCTGGAGCTCTTAAAGACAATGTTGGATTTTTTTGTAGGAAAGACGTAAATCAATCTCTCCCAGCACAATGATTT